AAATAAGGCCCCCCCCAGGCTCTGTCTCAGAATGCTATTGCTAAACATGAGAGATTTGGTCCACTGATTCTGAAAGAAATGGAGTCACAAGAAATTCACCAGGAAATTCAGGAATTGGATTGTTATGATGATGTTCCAGAAGATGATGACATGATTGTCATTGAATAAATGAGTAAATTCTTGATACTGTAGGTTTCACAGTTTGTCTGGTTTGTGTTGACAACTACCGTACTACCGTACCGTATACAGGTAAAAAATTTCCTTTATGTTCATTTAACAATAAATGTGTACCGTATTCTTCTTCATGGAAAAATAAGACATCCCCTGAAAATAAAACCTAACGCATCTTTGGGAGCAAAAATTAATATAAGACACTGTCTTATTTTCGGGAAAACAGGGTAGTACTATGTTATAATGTTTTTACTAAGATTATGCCCAGCCCAGTTAATCCCTTAAACCAAATGTTGCTTGTAGTCTTCCTGTTACTGGGTGCTTTTAAAAAAAGTTTTTACTGATTTGAGAGAGGAAGGGAGAGGGAAAGAAAGAAAAACATCAGTCAGTTGCATCCTGCAAAAACACCAACCAGGTATCAACCCACAACCTGGGCATGTGCCAAGATGGGAAACTGAACCAGCAACCTTTTGGTGTGTGGGATAATGCTCAATCAACTGGGCCACACCAGCCAGGACCTGTGATTAAATATTTATGCCACAACTGCTCTGCTAGTCCCCTACCTCTCTGAGCACTCATTACTTGTCAGCCCCGCTGATGGAGGCTCCCTTCATCCAGAAATATTTGGGTTTTCTTTCTCCTTCTCTAATGTACCTCTACGCAATCTTACCCTCTTCCTCGTGGTTCATTAACCCTGACCTCTAATCTGAGCCTCAGCTGTCAGGCATCAAGGGACTCATTAAGTACTGGGAGGCAAATGACATGACCACAGTCCTGGCTTCATAAAGTATATCGACGAGTGGGTGATAAAAATAAAAAAAAAATGCTAAAGAAAGTCTCTCCAACTGTAGAAGTAGAAACATGTAGCAGTCTTAAATATAAGCCCAGGGGATCATCAGGAGGGTGGCTTCAAGGCACCGATAAACTTCATAAAACTATATGCAAAGTTGTTTGTTTAGCCACGTTCAGGGTGATAGGATCTCTGGCTTTCATTAGATTATCACAGAGGTCCTTGACTCAAAAAAAGTTTAAGCTCAACTGGTCTAATGATAGGTTTTTGATGTAACATTGGAGATGATGCCATTTTGGTGAAAAATTAGGGCTTAAGTAAGACATAGATTTGGGAGCCTTCTCTGCACAGAGGCAAGAGCTAGGTCAACAACTCTCAAAGCCTAACAATCTCAGCCACAGGCAGAGGACTGGGCACACAATGGAGGCAGGAGGAGGGGGTCTCTCACTTTCCCCCAATTCCTCAGCCCCACCATAATGCCACAAACCGCATGTACTCTCAGCTCCCAGTGTGAGAAGTATGGAGTCAGGCTGTCCTGGGAATGTCAGAGGTCCCCAAAGCAGCCCGTATAGACTAAGATCAACTCCAGGGACCCTCCTGGTCAAATCCAGGCTGGAAACATGCTGTCTGGAAAAAGAAAGACTTATTGCCAACACTGAGAATTCAGGGGTTTTATGAAATGATAGGGATTTGTGTCTTTTCTTACAACTCTCAGGACCTGATAAGGCTGGCCCCGTGTCCCCAGCACCATCGCATGGACTGGCACCTCCCTGGAAGGCCTTAGTTCTTCAATTCCCATCTCCATGCCTTACACTTAGCTCTGTCCTCTTTAATGGTAACTACCCGCCCTCCACACCTGAAACTCCGGTGTTCCCAAAGGTGAGTGGAGAAAAATAGAAAACCTCTGGAAAGAGCTGTGTGCCAAGCAGAAGTTATATAGGAAGAAAGAGGAGAAGAAGAAAAACAGAAAGGAAACATAGTCCCTTAATGCGAAATCTTCTACTTTATGTTGCCTACTGGGATGGCTCTGTATACACAGACCATCCAAGTTGATGCCATTTGGATTGCAAGAAAGCTCTTCTCATCCCATCCTTGGCCAGAATAAAATCGTTACTATTAAAATAATGGGACCATGGGGGCGGGGGACAGGTGGGAACCACCATGTCCTAACGTTTATGAATCATATTGTATCTGCTTAATAACATCAGAAGGGCCATAAAAACTCCTTCCTCCAATTAAATATCTCCATCAACTATAAACAGATTAAGCATTTTATAAGTGATGGTACATTAAAAAGAGATCATTGGTATGTGATTCTATTTTGTACATCAGAGATGCATGTGAATTAATGATTCATGATCACCACTCTATTTTCTAGTCTTTTAAAAATGCCTATTCATCTGTTAATGTTGCCCTAAGCTCACAAGATAGCAGCCACGTTTTTGCTTTAGTGGGTTAAATACACAGACAGCATGCTTTCCGAGCACCCGCAGCTCTGCACTATCGTTACTTCTTTTCCTCTGTCACTAACACCACCGTCACAACCTCATTCATTCCCTTACTTATCAAGGCCAGACGTCAGCCTTCCTGTATGTCCTGGAGGAAGCAACATTTGGCCAAAAATATGAATCTCACTGCTTGTCAGCCAATCACTTGAACTTCATTCCTTCAAAAATCTGAGCGCCAAGGGGTCTTTAAGCACTTCACATTCATTTGCTATAATCATGGTAAAACACACATGACATAAAATTTTCTGTCTTAACTACTTTTACGTGTACAGTTCAGCAGTGTTAAGTGTATTTATGTTATTGTGCAACCAATTTTCATAACGGTTTTCATTTTTCAAAGCTGAAACTCTATACCCTTTAAATAACAACTCCCCATTCTTCCCTCACCCCACTCTCTGGCAACCACCATTGTACTATCTGTCTTTGTGCATTTGGCTATTTTAGATACCTTGTATGAGTGAAATCATAGTTTTGTCTTTTGGTGACTGATGAATTTTACTTAGCATAATGTTTCCAAGATTCATCCATGTTGCAGTGTCAGAATTCCCTTCCTTTTAAAAGACTGAGTAGTATTCCATTACATATACTAGAATGTACCACATGATGTTCCCACCTATAGTGCGCAAGTTTCCAGTTTCTCCACATCCTTGCCAACACTTGTTTTTTTCTGTTGTTGTTGTTAACAGTAACCATCCAAATGGATGTGAAGTAGTATCTCACCCATTAATTTTTAAATATCCCAAGGGTTATGCTTTGGTTCTCAGATGACACCTTAGTGATAAATCTGCATTATTATTTGTAGAGAGTCAAGAGTGTGGCCCTGTAGCATCGCACGAAGACACTGAATATCTAGGTTGGGATAGGAGTGAGCCATGGAGTTATCTTTGGCTGAGTAAGTTATTGGCCCAAAAAGGCTGCCTTTCTTATTATACAGATTTGCCCATCGGTGGTTCTACTCTAATGCAGTTTTTAAGCTTTCAATTTGAGCAGGAAAATAGAAGAACACTAGAAACCGGTGCACAAAATTCGTACATGGCAGAGAGAGGGGTCCCTTAGTCTGGCCTGCACTCTCTTGCAAACTGGGACCATTGGTTCCTAACTATTCACCTACCTGCCTGTCTGATCACCCCCTAACCACTTGCCTGCCTGCCTGATATCTCCTAACCCCTCTGCCTGCCTGCCTGATCACCCCTAACCTCCCACCTGCCTGCCTGATCACCCCTAACAGCCTCTGCCTCAGCACTTCGTCCAGAAGGACATCTGAAATAATGTTCAGAACGTCATCTAGCTATCCAGTGTAATTAGCATATTATGCTTTTATTATTATAGATGGGGCGGGGATGGGGGTGCTGGGATGGGGGGTCCTGTATATCTCAAAATCTAACTCTTATTGATTAAAAGTCTGTAAACTAAGAAAGAACTTCACGGCTGTAAAGTGTTCTCACTGCTCTTCCACTATTCTTTCTTGCGATCCCTCTTTATACCAACAATGTCCTAAACCTAGGGCAAAGTAAGAACCCTTCTCGCCTCTCCTCTAACGTAAGACAGAATCATGAAGGTTTAAGTCAGTTCGGCCTCAATTAGAAATCACAAACAGTACTGAACTATAATTCAAGTATCATCTTAATTGAAAAGTCAGGGCATCTGTGGCTGGCTGAATAATGATGCTCTCCCCCCCCCCCAAAAAAAAATACTTTATATGGGGAAAGGTACTTGGCTTATGTAATTAAGGATCTTGATATGGGGAAATTATCCTGGAGTACTCGTGTGCACCCCAAATGTCACCATAAGGGTAGGCAAAAAAATCAAAGAAAGAAGGCCATGTGAAGAAGGAAGAGGGGGGAAGGGGTGTGATGCAGTCATGAGCCAGAGTGAAGACAATCTCTACAAGCTGAAAAAGGCAAGGAAGTGGATTCTCCCTTCGCCTCCGGAAGGACCCCTCTCTGCAGACACCTGGAGCCCCATGACAACTGATATTCACCATGATGATAACCAGAAGGGACCATAAAGAAAAACAGAAACGAGGTGGAAGCCAGTTCTGGGTAAAACCACCACCCCTTTTCCCAGAAAGGTCATGAATATCCCCCCTCCCCTTATTTGCTTAGACCACCCCTTCATTTCTATCCTGTGGATACACAGCTTCTCCTCTCCAAGCCAAAACCAGAATATGCTTCTGCTTCCCAATTCTCTGGCCATTGTCTTTTTTTTTTTCATATGCCCACTTTTAATTATGGATGGAACCATTTAATAAAGCTTGTGCTGCACAGCAAAAGAGCCCCCTTTTGGGAGTCTCAGAAAGGGGGATTCACACCCTGAGTAACACCAGCAATTCAGTCTTTCAGTTTAAGAAGCTGCCCTTGAAAACGGTAGCTAAAGGATCAAAATGCTGCCATGGCAGGACACCCAAAATTCCTAAAGCAGCGTTTACACACCACTGCCCCATCCCCAGGCTGTCCCCTAGCCTCCTCCCCTGGCTCCTCTGTCCTCTGGGTTCTGGGGCTCAACGCCACCAGAGCGTGCCTGCCACAGACCTGATGGGGAGAGAAGGGTCTCCGGCGTCCCACCAGTCTTTCGGGGGGCTGATGTACATGCACCACAGCTCCCAGCTGTACCCGTGGGCCGAGTTCTCATACCGCTGCACCTCAAAGGTGTCCTGCTTGATGTTGTCGATGGATGGGAGGATCACCCGCTTCCGGTTCTCCTGGATTCGGGAGAGAACCGGCTCGGCCCTGAAACAGAGAAGTAGAAATAAAGTCTCTCTCCTGAGCAGCCCACACCTCCACGGGCATAGATCCCCGGGTGACAGAAAATGAGCAGCAGCAATGGAGCTAAGGGATAGGCTCTGGCAAGCTGGAACTCAGGTACAAACTGAGGCTCCCGAGTGGCCTGCCCCAGTTGGATGGTGCAGCTCAGACCCTCGCCAAGTGGGATGCTACCATGCTGATGCCTGCAGGAGCGGCCTGGAGCAAGAATTCAGAAAGTGCCAGCTTGTCTTTTATACCTGCCTCGTAGGCCAAAGCAAGGCCATCTGACTCTATGATTTGCATCGCATTACAGTTTTACATAGCAGCTTCAGTTCCCCCCAGGGCACTGGTTGATGCCTCTTGTATTTTCTGCTGGAGCTGAATTTCCTTTCCTAAAATAGGTTGCTTCTGTCCTTGATGGCCTGGTTTTAATAAGCATTTCGCTAGCTTCTTTGTGTGTGTGTGTGATTATTTCAGTTGTTTTAATTGATTATTTAATTGATTTCTTAAAAGGGATCTAATTGAATTGGTTGGCAATGGCTGACTGGATGGATGAATTAAATGCAAACTCAGGCAGATTCCTGCATCCCAGAGAGCCTGCCCCTCAAGGCTGCACAGGGGAGATAGGCAGTGACCCGGCTCATTTTTTTGTTCATTTGTTTTTTTGTTTTTAATTCTTTATTGTTTAAAGTATTACATATGTCCCCATTGATCTCTCCCCGGCCAGCCCTCCCCCGCCTCCAGCACATGCCCTCACCCCCTAGTGTCTGTGTCCATTGGTTATGCTTATATCATGCACACAAGTCCTTTAGTTGACCTCTCTCTGCACCCCTCCTCTCCCTACACCTCCCCTGCCTTCCCTCTGAAGTTTGAAGGCTCCAGGTTCTAGGTGTAGCTCTGCTGGTTTGGGAGAAAGCAGATGGTAAGTCACCCTGCCAGTGTGCGTCTCAGTAGCAGGGGCAGGCAGGGCTCCTTCCCCACATTCGGGAAGAAGATGGCTCTCACAAGCCACACATTAATCTCCCTGCTTAACAGGGAGCAGAGGCTCCGGAAAAGAGTCAAGTGAGATCCCATTCCTCTGCATTATTTGGAAGAATGATGGGAAAGCTCGGCCTACATCCCATCCCTTTTCATTTGCAGCTTCTGAATTACCTGCTGGCTCACCTCATCTTTCTATTTTAAATGAGCAATAAAATATATGCTGGGCCATTTCCTGCCTCCAATACTTCTGCACACACCATCCAGGTTGAGGTGGAGACACGCTTCAGTTCTTTGTCCCCTCCTACTCTTCTCTCATGCTGCTCTCCTCTGGGAATGCCCTTCTGCCACCGGCAGGGAGTCTGGCTACCTACTGAGGCTTATTAGATCATGTGCCGCCTCTTCCAAGAAGCCTCCCCTAATTTCCCCCAGTAGGAAGGCTCTCTTCTCCTTCTCAACTCTTAGACCACCTTCTCCACCTTATCCATGTCACTCTGATTACAGGCTGCCTTTGTTAATCTATGAACACATGGTTTTCCTTATAAGCTCATGATAGTTCATACTTATTGATTACTCACTACGAGCCAGGCACCATTCTAAACACATCACATGCACTGGCTAATTTAAATCTCACAAGAATCCCATTAAGTACATAGTATGGCCATCATTCTACAAATGAGGAAACCGAGGTCCAGGAGGTTAAGTCACTTGCCTCAGGCCACATAGCCGGCTGGTGGCAGAACCAGGCTTCTAACCCAGGTGGTCTGGCTTCGGCCCCAACCCTAAAGCCCCACTGCCTCCTTCAAAGGACCACACTTTCCCCAGGTTGTCTGCTGCCGCACACTGAGAAGCACCCAGCTCAGTCTCTCTCCGGATGGTTGACTGAGGATGGGGGCAGGAGACTGTGTTCAAAGAATGCTTGTGAAGAGAGCAGTTCCATTTCCAGTCTGTGACAGTGTGCACCACTGTTCCCAGCAATTTGCTTCCCCTTCCAGGGGACACCCTGCCTCTTAAAATGTGGCCTGCAGGGCCTCCCTGCAGAGGGCTGCACTCTCTCCTTCACCCACAATCAATGTTTAGCTTGGACATGTGACTTGCTTTAACCCATGGGATGTGAGCAGAAGTGACAATGTCACCACAGAGCAGACACGTGCATCGTCATTGCAAGATTCAGCCGGCATTCTTTTCTCTGAGCTACAGAAGTGGTGCGCTGTTCTAGACAGGAGTGAGTGCAGAGGACAGGTGAACAGAGCCACAGACAGCCCATGCTGGACCTGCCACATGGACAAGACAGAAATCATTATCATCGTCCGGAGGCTGAGAGGATTGCTACAGGACAACTTAGTGAATGTTACGACACAGTGTCTGTCTATAACGAGGAATCCTAAGGGACCTATGACAATGACAATGATGGACTAAGTGGACAACAGGTAAATTTCTCCCTGCTTCCCAGTTTTATCCCAGACTATGGTCTCACCCTCTTTTCCAACCACCCTTTTTCCATTCTTCCAGGGGCCCCAGAGGAACCAGGCACCCAACCTCCCAGACTTTAACCCATCCTGACCTCACTGCAGGTCCTGAGTACCCCTAGGGTTCAGCGTGTGACCTACCAGCCAGCAGTGAATTCCACGTGGGCATCAAAGAAGCCAGTGACCTGGCCGGTGGCCGCCTTCCAGCCCTCAATGCGTGCTCGGATCAGGCCCTCCCGTTTTTGGTTGCGCACCACCTTCACCAGCCCCGGGTAGCGTTTGTGGACGTACTCCTCTAAGGGGGCCTTCAGCTCCTCTGTAAATGACAAAATACAAGGTGGTCCATGACATGTCATCTCAAATGTGCGTCCAACCCACTGAGATGCCGGCAGACCTTCAGGAAATGAAGATAGCAGAAAAGTCTGCAAGTTGGTAATTTTAGTAGAAAATTGTGACAACCCAGTCAGTGTGAGTCAGAAGACAACTGTGACATAGCAGCCCAGGACAGCAATGTTCTTCCAGCAGCCAAGCTGTACACCTGGACAGAAGTGAGGCCCAGCTTTCAGAACCCACTGCTGCAGCTGGCAGGTGTCCTCTGAGGTTTATTTTCTTTGTGGCCCATCGCCCTTCCCTGGCCAGCATTCCTATCCTTTCACTGTCCCTTGGTCCTGTTTATCAACTGCTATTTTTTTTTTTTTTTTAGGAAATGTCCTAAGTGGTCCAGACACATAGTCATGCACCAGAGGCAATGTTAATAGGGTTGGTGCTTTGGTCTTAGGATGTAAAGGAAATCTTTGCCCAGTAATGAACATGCTGCCATGGACAGAAGCAGTATTCACAGAGATTACACACATCTCCTTCTGCACAAGCAGGTAGTATAAAGTACTTTATTTCTATGACCTAATTTAAACCTTAAAGCAACCCTAGGAAGTTGCCATATTAATTCCACTAATTATTAACCTAGATTAATTTTACTTGACAAATTAAGAGACAGTCTCATGGATGCTAACCTGTCCCAAGGTTGCACACCTAGTAATGGAAGGTCTGAAACACAGGCCAAATGGGCCCAACTCCCCAGACTTGAAGGTTGATACCTCTATGTACATAACAATCACCAAATGTAGGAGGCAAATTGAATTTTTGAAAAAGCTGGAAGAGCAATGCTTACCACAAGAGACAAAGAAGAATATTTTATATATAACAGCCAAGATATGGAAGCAGCTGAAGTATCCATTGACAGACAATTGAATAAAGATGTGGTACATGTACACAATGGGATACTACTCAGCCATGAAAAAGAATTAAATCTTACATTTGCAACAACATGGATGGACCTAGATGGCATTATGCTAAGTGAAATAAGTCAGACAAAGACAATTACCATATAATTTTACTGATATGTGGAATCTGAAAAACAAAATAAATGAACAAACAAAATAGAAAAGGACTCATAGATACAGAGAAGAAACTGATGGTTGCCAGATAAGAGAAAGTTGGAAAAGATAAATAGATTAAGAAGTACAAATTAGTAGTTATACTGTATCTTGGGGATGTAAAGTACAGCATAGGGTATACAGTCAATAATATTGTAATAACTATGTGTGATGCCAGGTGGGTACTAGGCTTACTGAAGAATCACTTCATAAATTATGTAAATGTCTAACCACTATGCTATACACCTGAAACTAATATAATATTGAATGTTAAATGTAATTGAAAAATAAAACTATATAATTTCAAACAAAACCAAAAAAAAAGGAGATTTTGGCCACAGACAGAGCCCCCAGGGACATGCACACAGAGGATAGACCACGTGAGGACACAGTGAGAAGGCAGCTACCTGCAAACCAAGGAGAGAGGCTTTAGGAGAAACCCTGCCGACACCTTGATCTTGGCTGGACTTCCAGCTTCCTGAAATATGTGAAAATGAATTCTATTAAGACATCCAGTCTGTGGTACTTGTCTATGGCAGTCCTAGCAGACTAACACAGGTATCTGTTATGAAAGGAGGAAAAGCTGGAGCCTGGGTGGGGAGGTGGCAGACACCTCTAATGAGGCATAGCATGTGGTTGGGAGTCAGACTGCCTTGGTTTCAGAACCAAGTGCTAACATTTATTACCAGGGTGACCCTGGGCAATACAGCCAGTCAATTTGTGCCTCAATTTTTTCATTTACAGAAGGGGGACCTCATAGGGTTGTGGTGAGCATTAAATAAGTTAAATACATAGATATCTAGAATTATCCTTGGCATCTGGCATCACGTACATGCTAAACGTTGAGTAGCCGGTCTTAATGATTATTTTCACTCTAGGAAGGGTTAGAACACAAGAACAGAGATTCCAGAGCAGCCCAGATCACCTGAGGAAGCTGTGTCCAACATGAAAAAATAGGCCTAGACGCTAGAATGGTGGTCTCAAACCAGAGGGCACATCAGCATTCCGGGAGTTGTTGGGACAGATTGCTGACTCCTCCCCCAAAGCTTCATTTTTAAAGGTCTAGGGTGGAGCCTGAGTGTTTCTGTTTCTAAGTGGATCCAGGAGTGTCCATGCTTTCTATGGGAACCACTTTGAGAATCACTGAGCTGGAAGTCATAGGACCATCTTGGGCACACAGCATGCCCTCTGTGGGTTTTCTAGGTGGGTGACATCTTTGCCCTCATCCAAGAGTTTGTTAAGGATGCTGGTGGAGAAGCCAGGCTGTGGGGACCCTCTGTTTCTTCACTTACCATGAATTGAAAGGATAACCAAATAACCAGAACTGGGGTGGCCCAAAAAATGCCCAGCTTCTAGAAACCATCGACTCAAGTTGGCTGGCTTTTTCTGTGTTAAATTTCTTGAAACGGTAACGCTAGCAAGAAGGTTAGGAGGCCATACCTAAACCGTTTGGTTTTTCCTTTCTCCCCTTTCCCCCCTCCCCACCCCCCCCCCATGTGCGCTGGAGACAAAAGGACAAGCTGTGGAAGGAGGCAAGGAACCATGCATGGGCACAGCACCCATGGAAGTATTTGCCCATATGGCAGGAACCTGGGCATCTCCATAAGTTCAACAAGAACATTCTGAATGCTGAGCACTGAACACCACGCCTGGGGACCCAAACCTGTGAACCTGGGACTGAGTTTTGGCTCTGCCCAGTAACTGGATGTCAGCTGTTAGCCATGACAGTCACCGTGTCCAAGTGTCAAGTGTTCTCCTCATTGGTTTAGTGGTTGTGACTGAGACATCAGGAGAGAGAGCGAGAGGCAAGCCTTTACAAGTTTGTCAAAAGAGAAAGTGGGTGACACCAGCTTCACCCTGACCTGCTTCAGATATACATTGTTCCACATGCAACTGAAGTGATGACCTATGGGATTCTGAGGGAGATGTCACCCTGTTGGAAGCTGCCCGTTGTCCTCACTAGCAGAGAGGTGTGGACAAGGAACCCGGAAGGCTGGTCAACCTTGGAAGCTCTGAGAGGTCAGAGCTCTCTGTCTAGTTGAGACAGTGGTAGCTAAAGCAACTCCCATATTTTAATCTTATGTAAATCCTTGCTGATTTGGCTATTACTGGCTATGGGTGGGTCCTGAACTTTAATAAAAGGGATAACAAGGCCAGAGCAGGGTGCAGTCCTCCCCTTGAGATGGGCTTCTACCTGGTGTCCAATATCGCCAAATTAATATTTTCTAATCTCTTTCATTTGTGTGTGGCCACCTCCCAAACTCGAACCCTGAACCTGAACCCTGAACCATGCAGGTCGTGGGGGGTCATACGCAACTGGAGCCCAAACGTGGGTTCCTACAAACAAACAGGCATCCCCACTTGGGACGTGAAAGGGATTTTCTACATCACCCTGACACTGGCAGGATTTAAAAACAAGTGACAGTGAGCAGGCTTTTCTTCCCAGCCCCTGCATGTGACTCAGCACCCCATAAGGTATTGGGTTGGGCCCCTGCCCATACTTAACATCAACTCTGACACAAGTGCTCTGTCAAGATGCTTACAATGTAGTGCAGGAGGGAGACAAGTTCAAAGAGTTGGAATATTCAGTTTTACAAGGGAAACAGAGCAAAGGTCAAAGAGGGAAAATGGCTGTTGGAAGGAAAGTGCTATGAGGGGTCACAGAAGGAGAAATTATTTTGGTTGGCAGTGCTCATGGAGAAGGTAGTCTGAGTTAAGCGGAGATTTGAACATGTGCTCTCACTATTCCAGATCATAGACATAATCAAAAGACATGAGCATTGAATTGGATCTATGGAATCACCAGTGTCTGGGTGATTGGGCAGATGCCATTAATTAGAAAAGAGGGGAAAAGAGAAAAGTGGAAAAACAAGTTGAGTTCACCTGGGTGAAGCCCCGCAGACATTCAGGGGTGGCCTGCTGAATGAAAAGAATGGTCCAGAGGTGCCAAAACCGGTTTGGCTCATTGGATAGAGCGTCGGCCTGCGGACTGAAAGATCCCTGGTTCGATTCCGGTCAAGGGCATGTACTTTGGTTGTGGGCACATCTCTAGTAGGGGGTGTGCAAGAGGCAGCTGATCAATGTCTCTCTCATCGATGTTTCTAACTCTCTATCCCTCTCTCTTCCTCACTGTAAAAAAAAAAAAATCAATAAAATATATTTAAAAAAAAAAAAAAAAAAAAAAAGAATGGTTCAGAGGTGAGGAGGAAAGGCTCAGAGCATCGGGGACACAGATGAGAGATATCAGCCCATAACAGGGTGAGAGTTCCAGGAGACAGTGAAGAAGACTAGAACTGTACTCTGGAAACATGTATACTGAGGAGACAGGAAGACAAGCTAGAGGATCAGATGGGTTAGAAACAGCATCAAAGAGGCGGAATCATATCAAGGGTAGAGTTTACAAAAGGAAGATATATGCATTCATTTCACAAATATGTGCAGAGAGGCCATATGGCTGAAAAATGACACCATTTTTATCCCAGAGTCACACCAAGTCCAATGTCAGAAAAATCAAAATGCATTAGAGAAAATGAGAGTTGAGATGGACCACTGATTTAAGCAAATAGCAGGTTCCTAATGGGACCAATGAGAAGAAAAGAATTCCCTTCAGGATGCATCTGGGCCCTGTGGGAGAAGAGGATGAGTAGACAGTTCAGGCGAGTCTTCCAGAAAGACTGGTCCTGATGGACGGGATGGTCACAGCCTGAGGGCATTGGTGTGCTGAGATTTGAAAATTGCCTTAAAGTGAGAGAACCCACCCGTTAACCAAGTAAAAACAAGGCCCCAGGCTCACCAGGGAAGGAAACAAATCCCCAAATGTCACACTTAACAAAAGAGCCCATTCTAAGACATTACAGTAACAGTAAGAAAAACACTTTACCTA